TTTTTTATATTACAATTTAATTTAAGTTTAATAACGAAATAATTTATTTTTGGTTTATTAATATAACATTTTATAAAGATAACAATTAAATATTCTGTTAGAACTCAATGATTATCCTAATTATGTTTTAGATTTTTTATATTTAAAATGAGATGTTTATCTGTAGTTAGTTACACGAATTCAGATATGGAGCTTTAATAAGTTGTACTTATGTTCAATCTACTTGTAATATTGAGTTTTAAGTAATATGCATTAATAAACAGTACTTTACGCATAAAAAGTGGTTTTTAAGAGTTTTTGTCAAATGCTTTATAATATAGTATAGATACGAGGAAGGAACATGCGAGAGGTTAAACATTTTACGAGAATGCGAGAAGGCTCAATATCATATATGATTACGCTCCTTTATGTGTGTTTAATCATATATGATTAAGCTTGTATTTATACTATATATGGCATGTGGATCAGGTTCAAACGAGAAGTTAATCATATATGAATATATGATATTGTAACTTCTTGCCTTCTTAAAATATTTAACTTCTCGTTTGAACCTGACTCATATGCCATATATATATATATATATATATATATATATATATATATATATATATATATATATATATTATTTGTGGCACAAATGAAAACTAGTATTCAACTATAACCAAACTAGACAAACCTAACATATTCTGTTTGAAAACAGGGTCTGCAGGAAGGGGTGAAATGCATGCAGACCTAAACTCTAACCACAAATGTTTACCTCAGATCTGGTTGCCCCGCCGACGATGAATACAAAAATACGCCGCCCCATGTTTTTAAAGTCCGTAGTTGTATGACCAACTGTGGAATCACTACAAAGACAGTTCGAGAGAGGTAATTAGTAGTAATACAGAATTTTCAGGTATCACTTTTACTCCTCAACTGCTATATTAAAAGTTAAGACCTTCGGTGTGTTTAGCGTTTCTTCTGCTATATTAAAAGTTAAGACCTTCGGTGTTTTTAGCTTTTCTTCTTGCACTAGTTGTCAGTACTGCATTTTATGTCCCCTTCTCTGTTTTAACCTATTGTTTTTATTTAATTATTTTTAAAAGAAATTTCCTATTTCTATATATCTCTTGACTTGAGAAGTGTTTGTGCTTGCTAGAAAATCATGGTAGAAAGATGCATGCATACACTTCTCATATATTTCACCTTGTAAAAAGATAAAAATATAGAGTAAAATCTGTGGTTCCAGTTTCGATCAGTTTTTAACTGTACAGTACCAGTTTGAACCACTTGTGCACACCCCTAGCTTGAAAATCGGTAAAAGATTCAATCTCAACATTTGCAGTCCTAAGTTCAGTATTGAAGATTATCAAAGTATCTCCAACAAATTCTCCAAAATGGAGAATGGAACTTCAAGATCTCTAAAACAAAAATACATTAAACTCCAACAGATTCTCCATTTTGAAGAATACAACATTGATTATATTATTAAAATATTTCATTCAACTAATAAAATATTCTCTCTCTTTAAATATTTAACTTCAAAGTTTCCTATTCGTGGGAGTATATTGAAAAATATTTCTCTCATTGTAATCATTTTTGGGATGTGTCTCTAAATTTGGAGCCTCCTACTTTCTCCATTTTAGAGAGGTTTTGGATAATTTGTTGGAGCAAAAAACATGCCCAAAATCCCTAAAATCTCCGTTTTAATCCATTTTGGAGAATCTGTTGGAGATGTTGTCATAGCACGAAAAGAAAAAACTCGTTTAACTGATTTGAAGAAGATGATGTTTTCTTGCAAAGAAGAAATAGATACAAAAGCTGCTGCTAGTAACTTGATGAAGAGAAATGTGTCAAGATTACCTTGAATTTCCACCAACAGATGAATTTTGCTTTGCCCATGTGGCTGTCCTCCTTGATCTCCTTGAATGTGGATGGTTACCTGTGGGGCCACTCTTTGCTGATGCATCCTGTGTGCTCCGACTTTGACTACTTGGACCTGGACCTGGACCGTTCATGCATTGGTACTCATCCTTTGGCATCTCGTGGTTGCTAAGTTTTTCAAGCAAATCCTGAGAGAAGGAATGAATCACGATACAACATCAGTTTAATACCATCAGTACTTGGAACCGGCGAATTAGACAATTCTGACTCTAGTGCCCATTGGTATTTTAATTATAGAACAGTCAGACATATTGAACTTTTTTAAAAGATCTTTTACATACTTATCCTGATTAATGAAAATACACCAAGGGGGTGGGATGTACACAAATCTTACCTCTACCCTCAAAGAGTAGAGCAGCTATTTCCGTGAATACCCCCGGCTTGTGAGATGTGTGCAAACAAATATAAAGTTTCCCCAAAGAAATAGAGGAAATAGCAAAAGGTGATGGTGCTGGAAAAAAGAAAGTGAAACAAGAAAACAAGAATAATTATAGACAACATGGTGGTGAAAAAAGCCATGATTATGGTACCTCTAAGATGGGATAAAATCGGGAGAGTTGCCATGTTTCCTCTTCTCCTCTTTTATCCTTTCTTAATGCATGATGCCTCTAATAAAAGAACAGAAATACAACAATTATCAGAACTTCAACATATAAGCGTGAAAATATATATCGAGTTATGTTCCATGATTTTCCTCGATACATTCTATAATTACCTTTTGAGAATCAAACTTAAGGGAGAAGCTTCCATGATGTTTCTTTCTGATTTTTGTTCCCTCCAGAAATTTCATATTTTGTATTACCTTTATATCCTCAGGAGGCAATTTTGCCACCTAAGGGGCAACAGAGATAAAAAAACAAAAACAAGAACGGAGAGCATAAGTAACTTCATCAAACAATCTTGTATTTAGTGGTTTACAAAGAACTGCACACATTCTTTTTGAGTCGATCCAAGAAATTGGTAACATTTTTCCCTTTCTACCTCTTTAACGTCATTTACTTTAAAAGTGTTGTTCATTTTGGAATGTAAGAACTAGAAAGTGACTATTTGACGGCTAGATTAAGACAACTAGTTACCTGCATAAGCTTTGTTGCTTTGTCACCCTCAAACTTTTCAGGGTAAACCATTGCATAAATCATCACCAATCTCAATTTGTATTCACTATCTGTGCCCTGTATGAAGTATAAGAATATGTTAGCAGGAGAGAAATATTACATTTTAAAGCAAGCTTCTTCAGTTTTGTGTTTATATATATACATATAGGGTTAGGTTCGGGGAAAACCACAAAAAAATTGAAAAAATGAGAAACACCCAGGTAACAATTCATCTAGATGGTATGGAAATGTGTGTAAAAGTAACTTGTAAGCAATTTGTTCGGTAGAAACCAAGAAACAACTTCAATTTTACTTGTACGCACATGTGCATATCCTACAGATGAATGGTTACGAGTTGTTCCTCATTTTTTCAATTTTTTGGGGTTTTCCTCTAAATCTCCTCTATGCATACATATATATTCCCCAAGTCACCTGATAAGTCCTTAAATAGTGGAGGACTTCCTTTGTCCCAGCATCACCAAAGACAAGATCCTGCTCGAGTTGACCAAGATCTCTGAGCCCTTCATCTCTGACAATTTCGTTGATTTTTCCAGCAATCTGATTAAGAAGGAAGTTTAGTTGATCAGAACAGTAGCTTAAGCACATGCTAATCCTACCCAATTTTTACATCTCTCCTCCTTGACATGCTTAGACCCAATATAAAGATATGTCATAATAGTAATGTTGGAGTCTGCATTAGCTAGACTTGTACCATTTCTCCTAAATATACGTTGGAACCTTTATTCTCTCCTCAAGGGCAATTTTGGAGAGTAATCTAATGGGTTTCCACATATTCTTAAATGGTATCAGAGACAAAGTCTACCACTCTATGGACTCGACCCTCTGGGACAATTTTGCACATCTAGCCTCCTTTGGAAGGGGGCGTGTTGGAGTCCTACATCAGCTAGACTTGGACCATTTCTCCTTAAAGGCTCTTTTGGAAAATAATCTAATGGGGTTCCATGTAATACGAGTTGTTACACTTCCTCATCTCGCCCTTGCTACAAAACTTTGCTCCATGTAAAGAGAGTTGAATATCAGTTATACAGTTCCCCTCTTTACATGGAGCAAAGTTTTGTAGCAAGGGCGAGATGAGGAAGTGTAACAACTCGTATTACATGGATAGAAAATGGGATTTGTGATACCAATAACTTCCACCATGGTTTTAAGTTGGATTCAAAGTTATTGTGCCTGTTGCTTTGGGATTTGGGTTGTTACAAATGGTACCAGAGCTGATCCTTGTACCATCGGGATGGTGGGGCAAACCTCATCGGGTATGATAAGTCCTCAAGGAGGGTGTTTGTAACATCTTAAGGGAATCCCACATCGCCGATTACAAGGAGGAAGATTTGCTTCAATACACATTGGAAGTACATAGTAGAGAAGAAAAAATGATAACAAAGAAGAAGTAAATAAGATGTCAGACCTCTACATGGAGTGAGAGTTTCTCCATTTGTTCATTGTATGCAGGCAAAGATTGAACCATTTTCTGTATCTCCCTAGTAGATAACTCATTACCATCTCTGCATCCAAGTCAGATTTTTGCATAAGAGACTCATAAGACTAGGGTGAACCACAATGTCAAACTACATATTCCGTCCATTGCAGACTAGTACCAAAAATACAACTCAAAAAGTCTACCTACTTTACCAAAATCTTCTGATATTTAACATGCAAATCATGCATAATTCCTCATATCATCAGGCTGTCTTGTCCATGTACAATTATATGACATTTCAATTTTTTATTGTAAAGCACTACATAATGTTATTATATCTCGTCCAGGCTAGCAGTTGTAGTCCCAGTGAGGAATTATAAGAACAAATGGTGAGGAAATAATGTTTGAGCAAGTAAGAAGTTCTTCAGGATAACCTAGATGTCCTAAGTTCAAATCTGCCCTTGAGTATTGTCAGTGGCGAACCCAGGAATTTTGGTGAGAGGGACCGGTATTTAATTAACATAATATAAATATAATATAAGTTAAATAAAAACACAGAAATGAGAAACAACTTATATCCTTCAAAGGAAATGAATTTGGAGTAATACTTGATTAGGGGATCTGACAGTTTCCTTATGGGGCCAGAATAAGGTCAGAAAAGTGAGGTTTAGGGGAAGACCACCCAAAAATGAAAAATTGAGGAACACACTAATAATGGTTCATCGTATGCACATGTCCTAGTTTCTATGCACGTGTGCATGATTTTCACATATGCATACTGTATACACATATGCATACCATACAGATGAATGTTTACTGGGGTGTTCCTCAATTTTTTATTTTCTTGCGGTTTTCCCCTGAACCTAGTCGGTATATATAATAAATAAAATGTACACTGATTTTTCTTTTTAAATTCATGGAGGGCAGCGATCCCCTCCCTTCAATGTAGATCCACCTATGGGTATTGTCCACTAAATTACCGGTGTTGTGTCAATTGGCAAGCAGTAAATTTGTCTCCCAGGTAGTGGTTCCTGTATTTGACTGGCAACAGAAAAGATATCTACATACGATATGACATCATAAAAACAGCCCAGAGACATGCAGAATTATCAATCACTTACAAATGGACTAAGAAAATAAATCATGTGTCCATAGTTTGCTCGCACCAACCTTTGCTGTAATTGTGCAGCTTTATTTTTTGACATAAAATTTTGCATCTTGTCGCTCAATCTTTCACTGGCCTGATATGGCAGCAGATGAAAAGGCATCAAAACTTATTATATTCCCAAGTGAACAGAAAACAAAAATAGAGACGTACTTCTGCTATATGTAAATGACGCATTTCAAGCCAAACTGGATCATGATCTTCCAAAAGGAACTCCTTTTTCTGAGGCTCGCCACCAGATTTACTGGGGACCTACATACAACATGCTTCACTATTCACAGCATGCCCCTAAACCTTATTTTACTCTATTCAGAAAACCAATTTCCATGCAGACGAAGTATCATGTGAGAATAGGAGTTAATGTGAGAAGCGTAAGAAGGAATCTGGACCTTTGATCACTTTTAATCTCACCCCACCATATTAATTGCGCTTCTCATGGGAATTGATCCGGTGCATCTCATTAATTAGGATTGATCCAAGGGTGTAGATCCCTTCTTACCCTTCTCATCATAACTTCCGTTCTCACAGGAATCCAACCTTTCCATGTAAAACATACCTCCTGCACATATTTGTTTCCCTCCAAGTCTAACAAATCATGGCACATTGCATCATAAGTCCATTCATGAATGATGGGTGCAATCTGAACTTTGTACATTGTTATACAGACAGTAAGAGGTCAAAAAACTATGAAGACGATACAGAAAGAAAAACAATGAAAAACTAAGCTTACCAGATCAACAGATCTATCCACAATGAGAAACTCACATGTTTCAGTCTGCGGAAAGTTAGGAATTGTAGTCTTATACATTGTAATGCAGTTCCAAACAGCAGAAGCAAGTTTTACAGGCACCAAATCACGTAATGTTGCTGCAGAAGATCCATCCATGCCCTTTGAACGGTACCATACAACAGGAAACTCCTAAAAAGATGCAAACATGTTCAGCCTTCCAAAAAATGGCTTAAAAATATGAATATTTTCCTGGGAAGACTTCGATATAGGACTACTAGCTTTGATGCAAGTATGCAGCAAAACAAATGTTTCTTTAATAGGCTCACCTTAAGCTTCTCAATGAAACAAAATTAATGTTGTTTTAGAAATACACTTCTATGACATCCTTGATTCTACAAAAATCACACATTTGTCCTTACTTTTATGTAGCTTTATCTGGTGACTGGTGCCAAAGCCAATTGGTTTTACGGGATTCTACAAGGAGAAGACTAGTGTGTTTTAGGTGCTTTTTTTTTCCTATTAGCTGAATCCACCATTTGAAGTTCAATAGTACTTCTAGGGAGCCATACACAATCATCTTTGCTATCTAGCCATCTATGTTGATGCCATCGCTTCATTGTTAGATCCCACATTGGTTGGAGAGGGGAATAAAGGTTTCCTTATAAGAAACTGGATACCTCCTCTGATACCATCTTATAACAATTACATGGGCAGATCTATGACCTAGTGGTAGGGTACAAGAACAATATACCAGTAAACAGACTAAAAGTCGATGTAGTAAAAGATATACCAGATCTGATATCTTATTTACAAGAGGATATTTTTTTCACTAGAGGTTATCTACTCCTTCCATTTACTTCTATTTCTTTTGTTTATAAAGTTATGTGGCCAATAAATGAGAGGAGAAAAGGTAGTTTACTGATATTCACTAATAGTAACTAGTGTGAACTCGGTCTCTACCTATTGTATTGCCAACTAGAGAGTGATTTGAACTCCGTTAAGTCTAGTTGGCAACTGAACAAAGCTCTYGATCAACTAAAGTCAGTGTCCGGATCAGGAAAAGTCTCAGGTGACTGAAGAACTCAGCGACGACTTGACAAAAGAAACCCTAAAAATGGACATGAAGGAACTTATATAAGGGGAACCAATTGGGACAAAACCTCTATGAAGCTAGTATGATAAGTGTGAAGGTATGAGTACAGTTAGCCCTTTCTATTTTCCATCTTAAAAACTGTAACATGAGGTAACATAATAGAAGCTTATGTTTTTACTCTTACCTTCAATGAAGCAAAAACAGTAGCAATGCGACTGGCCATTGTGTTCATGCAAACATCAAATTGGCGAGAATTCTCAGCAGCTTGGCTGTACAGGTCTTGTAAGGCTCTGTCATGATCAGTTGTAAATGCCTACAATGACATGCAATCAAACAAAGATCGTGCATGACCCAAGAAATAAAAGAGTACTGACACAAGTAACAAATGGAAGAATGACAGCTACCTGACTTTCAATAGGAAAATACTCCAAGTTCATCTGCAATGAAATCATCGTTCGGATCATATCTCTGAACTTTCTACTCATGGACCCAAGAACAAGAAAAAAGGCTCAAAAGAACAAGAGGATGGTGATCTTAACCTCTCTCAGAGCACCAATGCGTGGTACAACACTCATATCGCTCTTGATATGAGTAATCAACTCCTTTGGGGTAGAACAACTAAAATAAATAAATGCTCTGCAACAGAAGGAACAAACCAGAAAAAACGAAACAGATATAAGGTAATGAACCAAATAAATAAGGCCTAGTTTCAAGGGAATTACATCTTTTTGCATACTTCCTATATAAAGGTTCTCTTCCCGACATGTCCGATAGAAACATTACAATGCTGCGAACCAAATAATAAGAGTCAGACTCACCAGCTATAAAACGAATACAGTATACATATTCTAGTTCTTTATAGGGAAAGTGCTTTGTGAGCTGCTAAAAATTTGATTGTATACAATGTGCACCAGGGCTAATCAAGAATGAAATGTTAGACTGTAAACATGAACCCTAGAAGCAACCAAGAACCATATGGACAGAATACTGCAAGAATGCAGAGATAAGAACGGGTGAAGTGAAACACGAAATATGATGGTGAGTTGGTGACTGATACAGTTTGTAATTATATGCAGAATCCCCACAAGGATGTACAATGTAAAAATCAATTACGAACACTTGCAACTCACACAGATAGGCCTACCATAAATAGTGATCTTATTACTGAATGAGAGCTGAATGAAGACTATTATACGAATATGTTTGGTGCTTAAGAAATAATCTCTGAACTCAGGGTAAAGATGTGGACTTATAAATGTGGTAAAAATAGAAGGGTTTTGTTTTGCCAACATAGCATGACAAGCAATGGGAAGAAGGAAGCACCACTAATTATAATTGGTAATTAAGTAGAGTTCATATTTGTCTATCACCATAACTAGATGCAGGATGAAAAGAAAGCAACATCAAAAAATAGGGGACATACTTCTCTTTAATTGGTTGAATGAAATATATGACATCCATAGAAGGCATAGGCTGCCTTCTCTTGAAAAGGTCTTCCACCACTGCAGAAAAAAGTAGACATGTAATATAGGACACTGGCAGATGCCTGTATAAACATTTACAAATACAAGCCATCGAGGAAACATTAGATTTAAAATAAAAAAAAAATTGGATATAGGATCTTGGGAGCTAAGCAGCATCAGTTTCGTAAAATTAGCAGGATACCAATGAAATTAAATTCTACTACCACTACATCTGCCTGAATTACAGAGCTGCTCACATTGTGATTGGTACAACTTCTCTTTTTTTTCACATTTTTGAACATAGAGAATTGCAATCCAAGTAGATCCATCTAGATCATCAATCAATTTACAGAAGAAGAAAATTTTATATCTTCAGCAACTAAAATACATAACACAGGGATTGACATTTTATATGCTTACACGAAATTCCTTGATCTGTGATATCCGTCATTTTGCATGAAGCAGACATAACTTTCAGAGTGACTTTATCCATAATAAGTACCTGTACAAGGCCAGTAACATTAATAAAATTATATCTCAGCATCATTTAAACGTTAGATGCCTGAATGAACAGATAAAACTAAAAGAAATTTGGGATCCCATAAACTATGAGTCTCCACAACCTGCTTCAGGAAAGATTTAATATATTGCCCTTAACTATTCAAAAGGATTTCTTATGCCAAACCTGCAACTAACACGTAAGGAAATTCCAAAGTTCTCACCCCCTTTCATCCAAACTTATGCCAACTATTATCATGCAAAATATACAAAACAATACATAATCCATTAAACTTGGCCAATAATCTTCTAAGACCCACACCCAAGTTCCATAGCTTTTGGTCCGCTATCCCGATCATGATTTTCCTACCCCCAGAGGGGACCCGTCCATTATTATTTTTATTGATATGTTTGTAGGATAGATAGAGATAAAATGAAATCCATATGGATTCTCTATTCCTAATGGCTGTGGTACCGAAAATACTGTTAAAGAAAAGAGTAGACAAGGAATGAAAATCTCCCTCTCGAAATTCACTATGAATCTTTGGGGACCTATTACGAGATTTATGGGCCAGGGAGCCATTCCATTGACTCGTACTGATGAGAATTTTACTCCACCCACTACAGGCCAAGCAGCTACAAAGAAATGTAAAGAACGAGAGTTGTTGAAACTAGCATATTGGAAGAACGCCCATGTTGTGGCAATTCCACCCAGAAGGTAATGGGTTACTCTTTTAAATTTAAAAACAGATCAGTCGGCCGGGTCTACGAATCTATTCTAACCAGGTGTCTTCCAGATTAAGTTATGTGGAGTTGAAGTGAAAACCCAAGGCGTCAATACTATTATTTGCATCATAGGCTGTGTAGGATTAAAACATAACCTTAATGCATTGCTAAATTCTCAAATCATATAGTATTATCACATATGCTGTTTTAAGTTCCCATCGTGTTTGTTCAAGACTCTCTGTTCTTCAATTCTTCATCATAGTCGCACAATTTGCATTTCCTTTGTTTCTTATGATAGGTTTGGCTCAGTTTTACTTCTCCTGCCACTCCTCGGGATTTTCAATTTTTTTTCTTTTTTTGGGGTTGATGGAAAGGACTAGGGAATTCGTTAGCAGTTTAACCATCTCAAACAGTTACACTACATTGTAGCATCTGTACATAGATCCTTTGAAGTAGTCCCTCACACATATTTGGCGTAAGTCTACTATTTAGTGTACTTGTTAGTTATAAAGAAAATTCAAGTAAGGGTGTTTTCTTGATTCAGTTCCCATTTTGTTCCGTCTCCGGTATTTATAATATGTAGAAAATAGCAGCATATTGAATAGAATGGAAAAACAAAATAATTTCAATCATCATATTGTTATAAGGTCACATAAACTTGCATAGACAATAAGTTTCTGCTTACAACATATAAAGAATAAAAAAATCAGGATCAAAGTGAAGGATTGTTTTGAGCAACTGAAGGAAGTATATGGTCAGGGTAAAAATAGAAGATGAAAAGCAAAGGTAGCATCCTGACTTAATAGATAAGCCAAAGGTTCCACCAAAGAGCAAAAGTATGTCAAGGTGACAAAGATATCGTTTGAAAAATACAAGATTAAGGATAACTAACATAGATCATTCATCCTAGATTTGACCCCCATGATTCAATCCTATTACGAATTCTCTCTCTATGTGTATCACGCACACCAATATATCTTCTTTTCTCTCTCTCTCTCTCTCTCTCTCTCTCAATTTTTGTAATCAAGTGACAGGTTTGGTTATCATCTCAGTGCTTTCAACACTGAACAATTTCTTTAGCTCAATATCATCCATGATCTCTTTAACTGGTACAAGAAGCAAGCTTCTGCCATGGAAAGCATAAGGGAAAATTGTTCAGCTAAGATTACTCGAGTGTTGTGTAGGTCTTCAAATTGAACTCACACTCGTATACTCCCCAGTAAATTACAAGGGGCATGTCGATGAAAAAAGGGGGGGGGGGGGGGGGTCTAAAAACGTTACTCCCTCGGGTGTGGTCTCATTGGTCTTCAGAAAATAAGCATAAGAAATCTAGGCATATATAGGTTGCTCTTATTGAATATATTCCATGATGTAAATATGATGTGCATACCTTCCAACTTGATCTTGAGTCCCCTGATGAGGATGATTTGAGCATTTCATGCAGCAACCCTGCAAGATAATGATCCATTTTTACATCATGAAAGAAAACTAAAATTAGCCAAAAGTTATCACAAGGTAACTGATTAAACGAAAACTAAACAAAGTAAAAGAGAAAATAAAAGAAAATGAGAGGGAAAAGGCTATTGAGATTGCCCATAAGTTTACAATGAGAGGTTGAGTGTTCAATCACAGCAATATGCACATCATGTTAATCATGTCTGATATAAAAGAGACCACACACATATAGTACATGTTAAGGAACAGTAGTACACTAATGAACGCATTTGAGTCACAACAATGCTCCAAATGCAAACAACTAACCAATCTAGTCCCCCAGTAGCAACTAGTGCTCATAAAACACACCGACTGAATACATGGATAATGGTTGTATTATTAGCAAGCATATAGTCTGCTATCAACAAAGCATGGCATGCAACTTTAAAAACAATATAAAATAAATAGGAAGAGAAGTGAACACCTAGATTTATGTGGAAAACCCAAAACTGCGGACATAGTAGCTGAGACGGTCCAACTATCACAATGTTGGTACAAGCTTGATTGTGCTTTCAATGCACTTACAACGAAGAAGGGAGTAAAGGGTGTGTGATGAACAACAAACATTGCTATTTTTTTGGGTTACAACAAACTTTGCTCTACTTTGGCATTAAAAACCTGTCATTGTCGACAGACCGACTTTTAAGCAACCTTGAAGGTTGTGCATCAGCTCGCCTGGTTTCAAATTCCAAGTTGCACGCTACTTCTTGAGTGAATTGGGAAGTCGCATACGTCTTTTTGGGTGAATTTGAAGGCATTTTCAACACTATATGTAATGGATTGGGTGAATTTGAAGGCATCCTTCACGATGACAAGAGCCATGTACAGTGTCTCACGAACTCAATTTTCCAACTTCCACCTCCTTTATCATCAAATACTAAAAGGGAACACTAGATCAATGCTATGAGAACAACAAAGGGAATGAGGAACACTTCATTTCGGTGTTCTGTTTCGGATGGTAGGAAACAGTAGGCACAAAGTGGCTACCTTGGGTGGAGCATTGGTATAACAACCCATATCACCTACAGGAAAGGAAACTAACTTTACACATTTCAAGGACATCGTCTCTTTATAGGAACTCTTGGGGACGCAAAATTAAGGAAGCAGACTAGGTGGGAACCTATAGCTAGCCTAGACTGGAAGAAGGGATCAAAAGAGATAGAGAGGATGGGGGCAGGGTTAGTGAGGTGGCACTTAGATCTTCTGAGAACCTATATTAGGCTAGGGCCATGTAGTTATTCCTAGCTTGGTTATATTATCTTGCACCTGCTTCTGTTCATACGTTCTGTTTGTTTGTTTGTCAATCGTTTGAATGTTATTGCTTACTTCTAACTTGTTTAAGTTTTCAAATTTTAGCCCTGCGTTTCATATTTTCAAGTTCTTCTTATATGCTAGTTCTGCAATTTTTTGAGCAAGCTTTTATCTTTTCTTCTCACACACTTTGCACAACTGGTCAACTGCACAAGTTGGTGTCTTCATGAGAAAAATCTCTCTATCCTTCGGGAGAGATGTCAGGTGCATATATCCCACCACCAGGTGAGACATACCGGGCTTATTTGGTTTAGTTTTTAACGTGATATAATAAAATATCTTAAGCTTTTTACATGCATTCCTTAGAAGTTCTTTTACTAAAAGTGGGCCAGAGAAAAACTTCAATCTAGCAATAAACATAAACTTAAAACAACCAAATGGTAAATTCCGCCATCCCTAAGTCATCTGAGCAATTTAAAGCACGTTCTTGTAATTGCAGCAGCAAAACAAATCAATAACTTCGTGCAGGGTAAAAGCATTATACATTATATATATCATCATTGAATTCGATTACTAAAAATCAATCCTGGAAATAGAAACTTACTATCACGGCTGATTTGACGGAAATTCTTATACTCTCCGCCATGAGACGACGGATCAGAATCGGTGCATGACATTGGATTATAACTCTCACTTATCTCCGATCAACAAAATAAGAATCAGAAATTCGAAAATTCAAATTTCAGAAATGAAAAGTAATCGATCGTCAAGACAAAATCCAATTGTAGAGAGAGAATGTAGAGGGAGAACAAGCGAGAACGAAGGAGAGGGATGCCAGAGACAGATTGTCATATTCTAAGGGGTGACGGTTTTTAAGCGCTCTTTGTTTCCCACGAAAAGATGGAATTTACAAAAACAGTCCCTGAACTATTCATTAATCTGCAAATTTCATCGATTAAGAAATAAATTTGCATTTTTTTCCCTAATTCAATTATTTTTCCTCACGATAAAAATGTGTTGTTCCAAAAGCTCATGTCCTATCTCTTCCCTGTTAATGATGTCTATTTATATGATTGGTGGACAAGAATATGACGTAAGAATTTGGGACAACAGACTTTTATCTGATCCGCACACTCATTGGTTGCATTTTCAAGATAATTATTATAACTTGAAAATTTATTAATCAGATAATCAACATTAATTAATGATAGTTAGTATTTTACTCTTTCATTTCATTTTTTTTTATTAATCTGGGTATTCAACCCGTTATGCGAGACGACTAATTCCAAAGTGACCATCTGCTTTGCGGGTAGCCCGAGTTCATCACATTTGAACATTCGTGGCCATAAGGGAGTTTTTATTTCTCCTTGGATTTGAACCTGGGACCTCAAGACATTTTTGACATTTGGAGTTCAAGCTCAAACCAATCAGACACCATTCTTGTGGTTCTTTCATTTCATTGATCACTTTTCTTATAACTTCTTGTATAGTTATGCAAAAGTGATTATTTCACTTTAATCAGACAAAAAATCATAAACAAAACTCGAAAATCATAATAAGCACTTGAGATACACATCTAGACATCTCTCGTTCATTATGTCATAATCTATTTTTGCTATTTTCAATTGTCGAAACGATTACTAAACAATCTGTATTTTCTTATGCAGCTGCAACTTAACCGTCTATGAGATACATGATTGAGATGGAAACATCCCTTTATGTAGACGTGATTGGGCAGTACGAAACGAGACAGGATTGGACAGATGAGAACGAGATACGTAGGTTTTGATTTGACATAACTAGTTCAGTAATTTATCATTCTTGTTTCATCTTTCAGGCTTTTATTTCATTTAATCTGGTAGGACAAAAGAATGCTTTTTTACACCCACTCGTTCTTGTTTCATCTTTAGTCTTAAGTTGCGCCAAACATAAAACAACAAGTTTATATCTTGTTCTGCTTCGTCTTCAATCTTAAGGGCCAAAATGGTAAAAGATGTTTCTTGAGGGATGAAACATGTTCATTTTTGAAATAGTCCTAGAACGGCCTTTGTAGTTGCCTCCGACTATGCGTTCGTTTGTTCGTGCCTAGGTGTGGTCTATCTTTTTTTTATATTAATTTTCTATTATACCCCCTGTAATATCAAATTTTGTTTGTTTCAGTCCTTGTATTTTCACTGGCATACTCGTCAACTATTATTTATCAATTTGATGTTTAAAGTTTTAAAATTGAGTAATTAATTACTTATACCAACTGAATTTCAAGTTTATAAAAATTTATGTGATTTGTTGTCTAAAAAGGGACATATTGCATGAAAAAATAACGTACTTTAACTTGATTTTTATTTTGAGTAACATAAATTCAAAACTTTCATTTTGGTACATAAGATGTAAAATTTATAACATTTAAGTACCCTGGTAACACGTTGAAAACTGAATTAAATTTACTCATTATACCAGATTTCTTCGTACATCATCGTCCACGTAGGCTGTACACATGTACGATAGTGCTGACATGGTATTTCTTGATGTATTCTTTTTACCACGTTATCAAAATAGATATTTTCAAACTACAGATCTTTATATAAAAAAAATATTATCCAAAGATTATCTAAAATGGTTGGTTAATTGATGTTGAGTTTCTATAATAAATCAAAATCAATATAGTTTTATAATGTCGAATTTTATGGTTGTTTTCAGTTCTCAGATAATCCCGTCAAAAATTTATAACGTTTTTATGATTAACTGTATGGTATAATATTACATTATAGGCATCAAATTTTTACTGTAACAATATGTTTTCTTAAGTATATAATATTTATATATGTCAAATGCAATAAATAAACTCACACACCCTACTCACCTTTGGTGATGTTTGAACCTCTAACATCTTAAAAGACCAAAAACTACAATACCACTAGACCAAAGACCCTTTGGCTACTGTAACAATATGTTAAAGGGTATATCTTTTCGTTGATTCTGTAACAATGTCATTTTATGTCCTCAAATTTTCTATAATGATATTCCTGATTCTATGAGTTATGATGTTTGTTTTTTTAGCTCTCTGCCAAGTTGTGTGGTCTTTTGATCATGGAAATAAGGTTGAAATAAATAAAATTTGATTTAAAACAGTTTTATCTGAGTAATCATTTTTCAAAATGTTATTCTTTTTACTGTTGCAATGTTTTTGAAAAATCTTATAGATGTATATGCAGTAATCATAAACTTACCAGTGTATTTAATATGTCAAAAACTGTTGAAGAGAAAACTTAAAAATCGATGATCAGTGATAAAGTTGAATATGGTATAAAAGTTTGTTTTCATGAAACATGACATGAGATACAAAAAAAGACGATAAACAATATCATAAAAGGCATGGATCGTATTCTCGAACCCTTTTTATTGATTTCTTAGATTTGAACTATTTATGTATTTGCTATCTTAAAAATAAAATAAAAGTATTATTTACAAGAATATATATATATATAGGTGGAGGTTCAAACGAGAACCCATGTGATTTACGAGAATGCGAGAACAATCTAATAACCTCAAACTTTTTTAATTAATAAATTAACTTATATTAAATATAAATAAATTAATAAGAGCAGTAATGTAATTAATTAATTTTATAATTTTTATTTTATTTTAATTAGTCATAATTATCTTTTTTTTTTCCTGCACGTTCTTTTCCACTATCTCCTCTCCCCTTGTGATAATTGTGTGACCATAACCTATCGAAACCATGATCAATCAAGTGTAACCATAACCTATCGAAACCATGAGTAATCGTTGTGATAAATGTGTGATTGTCTAACCCTAACCGATCGAAACCATGAGTAATCGTTGTGATAAATGTGTGATTGTCTAACCCTAACCGATCGAAACCATGATCAAATTGAATGCGCAAGTGATGTTATAATAGTGATATCACATGATTATCACACTCATATCACACCAAATCGTTTAGTGGATTTCGCCCATAATCGTTGTGATAAATGTGTGATCGTCTAATTCTAACCGATCGAAACATGATCAAATCGAGTGCGCTATTATGGTAGTGATATCACATGATTATCACACACATATCACACCAAATCGGTAGTCGATTTTCTAAGTTAACCCTAGCCGAGCGGAATCCTTGTGATAATTGTGTGATAATCACATGATTATCACACCCAAAKCACACCCAAATCAWACCAAATCATGTTGATATAAGCGATAATGTGATAATCACATGATTATCACACCCAWAKCACACCCAAATCAYACCAAATCATGTTGATATAAGCGATAATGTGATAATCACATGATTATCACACCCATATCACACCCAAATCACACCAAATCATGTTGATATAAGCGATAATGTGATAATTGTGTGATAATCACATGATTATTACACTCATATCACATGATTAACCGTTTATTAGATAATGATAATCATGATCGTGTAATCGTATTAAAAGATTTTATGATATCATTTCCATTATTACCCTTTTAATTTTAATATTTTCTGAATCTTTTTAAATTTCAATTTTAGTTTTAAAAATCTTTTAATTTTTTTTTTTTTTCACAATATGTGGTTATTGGGTTGTTCTCGCATTCTCGTAAATTACAGGGGTTCTCGTTTGAACTCTTCCATATATATATATATATATATGGTATATTTCAAATGCAACCATGTTTATTTGTACAACCAATGCAACCCAATCAATTGAGATGTTTATGGAAATGATAAGAGTTCATTTATTATGATTTAAATATTTATGGAAGATGATTAGAGTTTATTAATTATGATTAATACTTTATATTAGAAAACAATCAAAACTTTTATGAAATCACATATTCATCAAATTAAATGGACGGTTGAGATTGGGTTGTACAAATGTAAAGGACTGCATAATAATTCACCTCTCTCTCTCTCTCTCTATATATATATATATATATATATAGAGAGAGAGAGAGAGAGAGGAACGATCAAATGCAAATCACCCAATTTGTACAAACCGTGCAAACCATCCTCATATGTAGATTTCATTATTTAATCTTATGAAATTTTTTCATGAAATTGTTTAATCTTGTTAAATTATTTCATATAATTTCTTTTTGATGAAGTTGTTTCATATATGGTTATGAAACTGTTTCATATATTTAATGAAACTATTTCATGTATTTCTCTAAAATTAAAATAATGAAGATGATCATATCCATGATTAACATCATCCACAATAAAAATGATTAATTAACCTTTCATAATTACAAAAAAATAAACGAAATAAAAAATTATGATTGGTTGAATAAGATTTGTACGATTTATGTAGATAATGTGGTTTACAAAGTAAACCTCCTATATATATAAATTGAGGATGTGGAGGTGTTGATGAGATCCACAAGCCATACCTAAAGCAATCGTGATTGCCACAAAGTCAAAAAAAATCACTTTACTTTTTTTAATTAATTAATTATCAACCTACCTTTAAATAATGGGAAATTACCTAAAATAATTATTTTATACGCAGTACATTAACAAAATAACTACTTTTCAGTAATTTTTCATAACATGACCATCAAAATCGTCCTTGGAGGACGATTTTGACTATAAGATATGGATGGATCCCACATGTATACTAGTTCAGATATTATATATGATATATATGAAATTGCCCTTATTTTGTCCATG